AGCAGGCGCTCTCTAGTACTGGGATTGCTCTCAATCATGTCCCTGCAGGTATCTTGATTTTACTTCTACTTTTTGATGGTTTTGCTTCGTGGGGTGTTTGATTGTTGGTGTTGTTCTTATTGATTAGTCAAGAAAGATCGGATCTTTTTCGATCTCTTGGCTTTCTTGGTGTCGGTGCGATTGATTTTGGGCTGGGGTTGTTGACTGAACAGAAAGGGTTTGTTAAGATTTGCATAGCTGACTAATTTTTGGTGATTTCTTTTATTATATCTCAGGTTGACTATGTGTGAATATGTTATAACAACAGTTGGATGTTTTGGTTTTTGAACATTGATTCTTTTTTGCTGTTTATTTGTTATGTTTTAGAAGATTTGATGTTTGGATATGGTTTTCACTGTAGTTTGTAATGTTATATGTGAATGAACAGGTGTTAAAGATGCAAGTGATAAGAAGATTCTTGTTGATATGTTGTTTTGGGCTGTGGACAATGCCGCGCCTGCTAATTATTTGTTAATTTCTGGTGATCGAGACTTCTCTAATGCTCTCCATCAGTTGCGAATGAGGAGATACAATATTCTTCTGGCACAGCCCCAGAAAGCATCCGCACCCCTTCTTGCGGCTGCAAAGAGTGTATGGCTCTGGACAAGTCTTTTGGCAGGAGGACCGCCTCTCAGTGAAGGTGAATCACTGCAACCTGATAGTAATAGCTATATGTCCACTTCAGAAACTTCACAGATGCCATTGACTGATGCCGCTCAATTAAAACAACCAGCGGATTCCTATTCTGAGAATCCGTATCTGGCAAACCAGAAGTCTCCTTACACAGCAAGGGGTTATGACAATAAACAGAAAGGGAAAAACATCCGAAGAAGCCCAAGCCAGACAAATGGATCAAAGACAACAAGTGTGCCTCTTTGGACCCAAGAAGATCAACATAATACAAACTCTCACCAACCGGGTACTTATTTCCCTAGAGTTCCCCTTAGTGGACCTGCCCCAGATTTTGTTCATGGAAATACTAATTTTACTTGGTGTGATGTCCCCTATGTTAATGACAACCACCAAAATCATTATACACAGCAATTAAGGCCAAACAATTCAGCGATGCAACCTGACTTTGCGGCAGGTGGTTTTTATCCTCCTCCTTATCTTCACCCTTGTGGTCCTCCTCCAATGCCTGCCAGGCCCAACGGAACAAGTTCTATGCCTGAACCATATATGAGTGCGCCTGATATTGGTAATTTGAACATTTCTGGATACTCCATCAACTTTAACCCTCAACGACGAAATCCAGAGGTAAAACATGATTCCAAGAAGAAACTTCCCCGATCTGTAAGCTCAAGTAACTCGCAAAATGGAAATATGGCACATAACTCACCATCAATTTACCAGGATGAGATGCCCAACCATAGATACTCCAGTCATCCAGAATATCTGTCATCATCTTCATCAGCAATGGGGGCTAGTGTTGCTCCAGGAAGTGTTATATGGGGGAGTCCAGGATGCCCAAAACCTTCTGAATACGTTCAAGGCCTTATAGGTGTGGTCTTGCTTGCCTTGAACACCCTTAAAAGTGAAAAGATAATGCCAACCGAAACAAATATAGCTGACTGCATCAGATATGGAGATCAGAAGCATCGTAACACTGACATTAAGAAGGCCCTTGAGTGTGCCATTGAGCATCAGATGGTAGTGGCACAGAGCTTAGGTGCGATGCAGTTGTTTGTTGGTAAAAACGAGAAACTGTGGAAATGTGTCAACCCTATTGGTGGCAGCCCGAAACAAATCCCAAAAGCAACATGGGATGAAATTCAACTTTTTCTGATATCCTCTGCCGGGCGATCTGCAATCTTGGCTTCTCAGTGCAGGTAAAGCTCACCAGTTTCTTCAACTCAATTTGATTTTCTGAGTTTCAATTCTAACTTTGAAAATGCTGTCATGTATTCTCCTATGCGATGTACAGGTATGAAGCAGGTACTATTTTAAAGAGAAAGTGCTTGAAAGGACATGCTCTGGGTGATATCCTTCAGATCTTGAACATGGTAATTGGCTATAAAAAATGGATCATACATCATCCATCAGGATGGCAACCAATTAGCATTACACTATCAGAGATCGATAGCGATTTATGGTCTGCAGAGGGCACATAATATTAACTATGGTAAGGGAAGGAGCCTGCAGTCAGCTAAGGGTAGTATTTCAATGATGCTTGGCTTGGCGTGAGGCTGGTAAAAAAAAAGGTTCCAAATCCTTGAAATTGGAAAATAGGTAGTAAAAGTTAGAGTTTATTTATGCTGGCGTCTTTAGTGCATAAGGATGGCCATCTTATATCAACCTTTTGTTTTCTGAGAAGCTCTTAAGTTTATCTTGAGGTTTAGTTAAAAGAGTTCTTGGACAACCTCAAGTCAAGGAGACAATTTTCTGGGGAGCATATTTTCTAGCTGCAAATCTATCTACTTAATGCAGTTAGGTCTTCCTTTTATTCTTCAGTAGTGCAATGGGGTGGTGGCCTTAGTTTCACTCTTGAGCTTCTAGCACACCACCACGATTAAACCATGATTTTACTTTTTTTAGTAGGAAACCTGAGCTTTCAATTCAAGCCATCTACAGAAATTTTATGGATGAAGAAGATCTTATCTTCTAGCATATATGCCTTTCAACAAGTTTATATAACCACCTAATAGCCTCTTAATGTATTGCAACTGAGATGGATTTTGTTACTTGTCACCTGAAATTTTCCGGGGAGTTGCATTGGTTCTCAGAAGTCAGTTTATTTAAGTTGTACACCAATGATGGAAAACCAGAATCTGCTATTGCTTATTCTAAGCTTGACTACTGGATGGAAACAGAAGATGGAAGTTGAGCGGTGAAAGCACCAACTGAGCAAAGCAAAATATGTAATTTATGCAAATTTGGAAGATTTTTACAACAAATTGACCTATCACATTTGACTGTGATTTAGTCTTGAAGAAGTCAAGACAGGAGAACACAACACAACAACAAATGATGGGTGTATGCTGCAGAGATTGGATGCTGAAATCATCTACCTTGGTGGGTATTCTAACTTTGGTCATTAAAAAGGTGATGTTCATGCAACTTCTCTGGTCATCGGATGCTAAAGCCCTTTCGTTTTCCTTCTTCTGCTTGTTGCTGTCATGGATGGTAAAGTATGTGTAAACCTCCAATATAGAAGTTTGAGTATATGAGATGCGTGAGGAGCTGCTTGCTTAGCATTTTGTGTGTACCTTGTAGTTCTCTCTGGCTTGTATGGCTTTGATGGATGTGTTTGCATTTAAATGAAATGGTATTTGTTCAGCCTTTGTTCATTATCTTTCTCTTTGAAAGAATTAGTTTATCTTTTTAGCCCTTTACTCTTGTGGATATATGTCATTGCCACAGCTGCAGTTCCTTGTTCTTGAAACTGAATAATTATGCAAACTTTCATCTTCTTAAACAGCGATGATGTGCTGCAACTTATTCAATGCTTTGGTTGTCTTTGAATTTCAACCGCATGTTTTAGCTTTTGATCAGTTTTGAATCAGATGCTTGTTATCTGTGAATCAAACATTACAAGAACCGGAAGATTTGTGTATGCCATCCTTTTAGAGAAGGCGGCAAGTGGGGTGCTGACTGGTTGCTCACTCCTTGACGATTGGAGTTCGTTATATTTTGCTTCATCATCAATAAGAATATATATCAGGATGTAATAGGGGTTGCAAATCCCTGTTTGATTTGTCTATAATTATTTTTTTTCTATCAAAACCATGTGGATTTGATGTTTTAAAAGGGTATACATGCTTTGAAAGGAATTACCCTAGGCAGAGGGTTTAAATATCAGGGTATATACCTTAAAAATATGATCCATACAATTGTTTAGAAAAGAACATAATTCATAAAGAAAAAAAGAATTGAAGAACAAAAGGACAACACCCTTTTGCCTTTTTCCTTTCTTCCACTTCTATTTTCCCCAGCTCAATCAGCTAGACAACTAGCCCTGTTAATTTGCTAAAAAAATAATTTTTTTAAAAAAATAAATTAGTTTTAGATATTTGGTAATGTATTAAAAAATAGGTTGAATTTTTTTTTTAATATTTGGTTATGTTAAAATAAGTAACAATCAAAAAAATTGGTTTTTTCTATTTTAGCTGGCTAGTTGGTTTATATTGTTCAAATAACAATTATAAAAATAAGAAACAAGCTTAATATAAAAGTTAAATTAAATTAAATTTTAAATGATAAAATTAAAATATTCAAAACAAAATATATATAACAATTAAAAGTTTGAGAATCAAATTTGATATAATCATTAAATAATATGACATTTCTAAATTTTTCATAATTTTTAAAAAATATTTTTTGTCTAAAATAAAAAAAATACTTTTCTAACAATTAAACTAATTTTTTTTATTAGAAAGTATTTTTTATTGATGGACATGAAAAAATTAAAAAATAATTTTTAAAAACTATTTTATAAAAACAACCACCCCTGAGTTAGAACAGGAAACGTGAGGAATTAACTGCATCAGATTGAAAATCCTAAAAAATTTAAGGAATTTGGGAAATCCTGAGAGATAAGGGAAATTGATTTTGGTCGGAGGGAGAAGAGAATAACTGTGTTTCTGCGTCATCTTTTCATAATTATTTTAAGTTATCGGGCGTCTAAATATATAATTTATGAAAAATTGGTTGGAAAGTGTTTATGTATATATATAAAAGAAGGTATGTAGTAATTTTTTCATAAAGAAAATTTAGGTCAATACACGGCTACTTCCCGGACCAAAACTTTTCTTTTAACAGAATTTTTTTTTAAATTCAGATTAAATCAATTGAAGTAAACTTAATTTAACTGATAATTCAAATTATATAGTTTATTTTTTAAATTTTAATTATATAATAAATAAAATTAAAAGATTAATTTAAAATCAAATAAAAAAATTAATATTAAAGATTCAAATTGAACAAAATAATATTATTATTTTTTTAATATCATAATATACTATACAAAAAACAATCGGGCAAAGTTTCATTTTTTGAATCAATATTGACATAATAGTGATTTATCATTTAATTTTTATAATTCTCACAAACTATTAATTTACACCCAATTTATTTTTTAAACTAAAACATTGTTTTATTGAAAAAAAAAAGAAGAAGCATATGTTGTGTTGTCTTCCTATCCAAAATCCAGCTATTAATGTGATAATTGAAAATTCAAATTTAATTTTTTTCTGGTTTAAAAATTTATTTTCATCTAAAAACATTCAATACATATCTTTTAAAACCTAAAAAAAACCCATTTATCAAACTTAAAAGCCATCCAAAACGGTTCAAAAATGCGAAACCAAAACAAAAACAGATTTTTTTCTTTCAACTTCAATTTATTTTTTTAGTTAAGATTAAAATTCTAAACAATCATTGTTAAACTTTTTTTATTTAATGAATTTTATTGACACTAAAATTAATTCTTTTCATGAATAAAATTGATACCAACCAATGATTTTCTCTTTTCTCTATTGAAATCCAAAGGCTCTCTTCTCTTGAGAATTGAAATATCAAGAAAATAAATTCTTAGACTAAAATAAAAATTAAAAAAGAAGGAAAGTACGAGGATTGAAAAGTAATTCTCCATAAAACTTTTGGTTCATATGTGTTTGGTAGTGTGATAATTTTTCTGGTTATGGTTTTAAAACAATTATTTTATGAAAAATATATTTAGTTAAAGTTGGTTTGATATTTATATATGTTTGGTTAAAACTGTGGTTGAAATTGAGATTAAACAAAAAATAGTTTAATGTGTTTAGTTAATAATGATTTTTAATTTAAGGTTATAAAATAATTAAAAAAAATATATATTAATATTGATGGTTTTTAATTTAAATATTATAAATTTAGCTACTGCTATTATACCATAAAATAAATAATATTTTATATAAATTTATCCAACAAGAATTATAATTTTTATGATTTTTTTTAACGTTCAACAAAATTAAGTAAAATATTATATGAAATAAAATTAGGATTATGATCAAATCCTGTAAATACTACACTGTCATATGATTTTTTTTAATTGATGTAATATGAATGTTATGATCAAATCCTGTAAATACTACACTGGTTATATGATTTTTTTTAATTGATATAATATGAATGAATAATATTAAATATTAATTTTTTAAAATAAAACATAATTAAAAATTAAAAAACAAATTAGTTTTTTTACTGAATCGATCCAATTTAAGATATTCAGATTCAGGCTAAACCGGTTTGATCCTTAACACGGATAAGCCGAACCGTGGAAGGTATAACAGTGCAAAGTTTGCGCAGTTTTGCATCGTGAATTATAATTCTGCATGTACTGTTTAAACGTTGATTCACTCTGCACGGAGACGGAACGCAGGCAGAAAACAGTTCTAATTTCTAAAGAGAACCTTTTGAATTTCTTCCTCCTTCCGCCGGAAAACCCTCCGAAACGTTGCCGCTTCGATTCTATCTTCCCCCAAAGAATCAAGAGAGATCTTCATCCATCCAACTCAAAAATCTTTGCCTCTCTTCATCAAACCCATGGCTTTCAACCCAGTGACCCTAATCTTGTTTTTTCTCTCCTTAATTCCTGGGGCTACTTTGACACCCCGGACGTGTGACCCCTCGTTCAGAGACCCAGGGCTAACTACTTACGATGTCTTCTTGAGTTTTAGAGGTGGAGATACACGCCAACATTTCACCGATCACCTCTACAAAGCTTTAACTAGAGCAGGGATTCCCACTTTCAGAGACGACGATGAGATCCGGATAGGAGAGAACATTGAGTTAGAAATCCAGAAAGCAATTCAAGAATCAAAATCATCTATTATTGTGTTCTCTAAAAACTACTCTTCTTCAAGATGGTGTCTTGATGAACTCTCGATGATCATGGAACGTAGAAGAACTGTTGGGCACATAGTGTTCCCAGTTTTCTACGATGTTGATCCATCTGAGGTGGGGAAACAAACAGGGCAATTTGGTGAAGAGTTTGCTAAGCTTGGAAAACGCTTCAAGTATCAGATGGAGAGGGTGGAGGGATGGAGAAGGGCTCTTAAGGAAGCTGCAAACATGGAAAGGATGGTTCTGGAAGACAGGTACTAGCTTTCTTTTTTTTTTTAATTTCTTCGAAATTTGTTTCATTGATAGCTTATATTTTTGAATCAGCTGAGCATTTAGGGATGCGTAATTTGACCTCGATCGTTCGATACTCAAACATGGCTAAGATTTTCAATTTTAGGCTCTAGGAGAATGCTTAAAATCATTGAAATATGACGCATGTTGAGCCACAAAGCTAGGGTGTTGTTTTTTCTTGCTAATCATCATGTGAAAAGACATTCAATTACTTGGAAACATGGCTTCACGAGACAAACACAGCCAACTATCCTAGGGAAAAGAGTTCGACCAGAATGAAAGAAATCTTGCGTTTTACTAGAGAAATGAAGACATTGAAAGGATATTCTTGGACATTTCAAAGATTAGTTCGGAGATCAATTTAAGCTCTGGAGTCTTTGTAAGGAAGTGCAAGATTAGATCGCTCAAAATTTATTATTCTGGAGTTAAAAATCACTGAAAAGTGTGTGAAATATGTAAACCTTAGCAACTGTGAGCACCTTTCAAATACCAGATTTTTCAAAGGATAGAAACCTTCAGAGATTGAATTTCCAATTTTGTGCAAGTTTCTTATCTCTCTTCTGAGTGGAAGTTGTTCAAGACTTCTTATCTCTTAACCTTTTCTAGTTGTTAAAATATCAATAAGAAAGCATGCAATTGCCTTACATTTCTCTTATCCCTATGCGCTTGGTATTGCAAGCTGCTACACTTTACTGCTTTCTTTTGGCTCTCACACAACCTCTATTTTATAGTGGAAATGGGGGAACATCCATCCCATCTCCACCTAACTCTCCCATTTTATGATATTTGATAAGAAATTTTTAGGAAACTGCATTTTTGTTTTCTTTCTAATTTGCTTACAAGCCTTAACTTCAATAGTCATGGTGCTAGACTGCTCGTAATCTCATTACTGAAACCTAACTCTGTCTTGATTTCATTACTGAAACTATGATCACAAACAGCGTTCTGTCTCTCAAAAAGAAAAAGATAAAAAAGATAAAGTGGTGTACATAAGGGCACTAGTCATTGCAGAACTCTCTCCTAATCCAATTGAAGTAGGGATGAGCTAGTGTATCAATTACTATTGTAGTATTGTCTCTCCATTCTTTAGGCATCTTCCAAACAAATCCATAGAATTCTTCTTGCTTGCTTCATTATCTCTAAATTATTGATAATTGTGTGACATGTTTATCCATAACTTAATAACACCACCATCTAACTTAAAAGTTATTTAAACAGCAACTGGTGAGGACGATGAACAAGGGCTGGTTTGTTAGATTAGCCTCAAGTCAAATGTAATTACTTTTGTTTTTCATGCTTTTTCGAAAAAAACGACCAAATACATTCAATCCTTCCCTTCGGATTACTTAAACACTCTGATGGTATATCCATCACAAACACCAGTGCTAGAAATCACGGTATCACCTCATGCTGGCCATTTATTTATCGTATATATAAGCTGGTGAAGTTGCACAAGGACAGCCATAAAACAAGAACTAACTGAAACAAAAGCTCAAAACACACTAAGTTGTAATGATCATGGATGCTAGGAGAGCTACTGGGCACATTTTGCTGCCCATATTTTACCATTTGGGTCCATCTGAAGTTAGGAACCAGGAAGGACGATATCATGAAGCGTTTTCGTCACACGAGCAAGGCTTCCAGGTTGAGATGGAGAGGGTGGAAGAGTGAGGGGCAGCTCTTAGAGAAGCTGCAGATGGCAGGGATAGTTCTACAAAACTGGTTCATCATATTCCTGTTTCCTCCTGATTCTAGTAGTACCTAAGCAACACAAGTTAAGGAAGACGTTCTTTTTAGGTAATAAGCTTTTAAGCAAGCAAGGACAAAACAATTTATTTTCAGGAGCAATCCTAGTTCTTACGCATTCTGAATTAGACAATCTAATCATATGTTTAAAAGCTCCCTCTACAGGTTAGCACCAAAGGATGAACACAATCAGCCTAGAAAAAAATTGAAATAAAGAAAGCTTGAGACCAAAAACCCAATCCCAAACTACAGGAGCAATCCGATGCTTGTATTTGACAAGTATCCACAAGATCTACCCTAGGTTGGAGTAGTTGACTAGTTTAAATTCAGTTTAATTTTTTTTCTTCAAAAAGATGTTTAATTTTAAAAAATTAAATTGATATCGTAAATTAACCTGTTCCATCTCAGGACGGATCATGGGCCGTACAGGCTTTGGTATTGGTATTTCCTAGGCATAGCTGCTCTTTTCCTTTTGTTTTGTCGGTATGTCAAGGAGAAATTAGTAGTTGGGCCTTCTATAGTGTCAAAATAAAAATTATAGGCCTCAAATGGGTAAAAAAAAATTCTGGGCCGGGAACAGAATTTTAATTTTAAAAGTGCAAAATGGTTTTATGAGGTTAAATTATGTTTTTTTTTTCACTTGAAAATATATATATAAAAAATTTAAGCTTAATAAGATCTTTAGTATTGGATTAATTTTGAATTTTAAGGTGGTTTTTTACTTTTTGAAGGTCAAAGATTAGTTTGACAAAGTTATCATGTTGTTTTCTAGGTTTTTTAGGTAAAAAAAGAAGAAGTTAAAAATAGGTTTTTAGAAGAAAAAAAATAACAACCCTCCTTTTTCAGTCACTAGGGTGTTTAGATGATATGTCGTCTCTTTTTTTCAACACAAATTCATTCGCCCCGTTAACTTAAAAAGAAATAAAGGCTCATGCATGTGGACTTGTCATTCACCTCATTCACATAAAAAAAAATTACAGGTTGCGCTCAAGGGCCTAATCTTGTATGTTTGTGCTGGGTCCTTTCTTCATGGACCATATGCTCGGCTTGTTGTTTACTAGGCCCATCAACGTCTTGATTGTTTTGTTTTAAATTTTGTTTTTTTTAATTATTTTTTTTTTAAAAATGATTTTGAAGTTTGTGTTTTATGTTTTTTTTCCTATTTAGCCTTTTCTAAATAGAGATCATTTTTTTAAATATATTGGATGTGTTTAATTTTTAAAGGGATTGATAATGTAATTTTTTTAATATTTTATTTAGATTAAATTTGTTTTAAAAATGAAAAATATTTAGTTTTATAATATTTTAATGTGCAGCCTTGTATAATATTTATTTTCTTTTCTTTTATTCAATAAATTTTATGTATGTGTTGATTTCTATTACAAATTGATTTTAATAAATAAATTTATTAAACACAACCATGTAAATGACCTGTTAAATGTTCTGATTTATATTTGTCTTTCAATTTTTTTAATTTTTTTTATTGTTAATGACTTTTTTTTCTTTTCTTTATAAAATAGTTGATTTATTTAATTCAATATATGCGTAAGTTTCTCTATTTATGTTTAAGAATTTTTTATGTAAAAAACATGTTGAAAAATTCTACATGTTATTTTTTTTTTCATGTATTGGTGTTTTCAATTTGATTCTTTTTCTTTAGATTTGTGATTTTTTTCTCAACTCTCTTTATTGTTTTTAATTTCACCTTTCAATTTAAGTTGATAATATATTTTTTTATTTATTTTGATCTTCATTCTTTTGATTTTTTCTTTTGTTAATATTTTTTTCTTTTCAATTTAACTTTCAAATTGATAAATTGTTGTTTCCCTTTAATTTATTTTTTAATTTCCATCTTAACCCTTATTCTTTTAATTGCTATTTTTTAAATTTTTTGTGTATTTATCTTTTGATTTTATCATTAACATTTTATATACAAGAGATTGAGCTTCATAATTCTTTCTTGTATAGTGTTTTTGATTAAATAAGTTGGTCATGTGTTTAAAAATTTAACTTGGATTGATTTTTTTTTCTTATTTTCTTTTTTGATATCAAATATAAATCCAAAATAAATTTAAAAATTATTTAAAAATAAAAAAAATATTAATAAAAAAAATAAAGCTAGGTGCTGTTGGGTTTAGAAAGCTAAGCCATGTGTTTGACACATCAAGAAAGAGTGGGCCTGCAAGGTCTGAGCATGAGCACGAGTACTAGCCTTTAATTTTTTTTTTTTAAAGTTAATAAGATAGGTGATATGTCATTTGATCTATTTATTTTTTTAAAAGAACAACCTTCACTTAAAACTTAGATTTTGACCATTGTAATACACTAGAAAAATAGTGTTTCTATTTGTTTGATCCGAAACTTATTATCTTTCTATTTTTAACACAAAATACTTATGTAATATTCTAGAAACCTTGTTAAACTAGTTTATGGTCTTAAAAAACACTAAAAGTTGTTCTAAAATTCAAAATCAGCCTGAAATAAAAAAAAATATTTCTAAGCTCAGATATTTTTTAAGTGCTTTCAAGGTGAAAAAAAAACACTTAATTTGAACTCCTGAACCATTTGACATAAAAATTAATTATTTTGATTGCTGAAATTATCACCATTAACAACTTTCTCGCTCTGCATTGAAATTTTGCGAGCCCCTCTCCTTTAAAAAAAAATATTTTTGGGCTCGGATTTTTTTTTGATACGAAGATAAAAAAAAATTAATTTGAATTTCTGTTATCATATGAAATCATTTAATAAAAAAAATTAATTATTTTAATAGCTAAAATCATCACCATTGATAACTTTCTTGCTTTGCATGGAATCTTGCGAGTTCCTCTCTCCTCTACCAAATAATTGAAGAAAAGGAGGAAATTGAAGTATTTAATTAAAATTAAATTTTTAAAATTTAAAGGGACTAATTAACTAATAATTAAAAATAAGAGGGATTAAAATGAATTTCACAAAAAAATGTCAAAGCTATAACCTACTTTATTTATTTTTATCACTTTAGTTTTCTATTTTTCAATTCAATACTATCTCTCAAATAATATGTAATTGGTTATTAATTGGGAGTAAAAAGGGTTTGGTCGTAAAAAAAAATTGAAATATCAAATTGAATTTTTTTTTGAATCACTATTGAGATCTAAAGTGACAGAATATAAAATCACTACTTTTAGTTTATACATACTACAACTATAAATAGTTATACAGTAGGTTCTGATTTTCCGTTTGATGGACTCAAGGCCCTGTTTCTTCAAAAGAAACCCAATTCTAAATCAATATTAAAAAACCCTAAACTGCTCGAAAAAAACCCCTCTCTCCTTTCTCGTTCTTCCACTTCCAGTTACCAGTTGCCTGCGGATCACACCCTGAAAATCCTCCCAGCGTTGCCGTTTCACTCCATTCCCATCGGAAACTTTCATCCTTCTAGTTTCTTCATCATGAATTCACCAACCAGTCCAATGTGTTTGTTCTCAGTTATCAATCTCTTGATGCTTTTCCCTTCTGGAAAGGCTAATGATGTTTTCTTGAGTTTTAACCACCAAGAAATTGGCAAGACTTTTGCTGATCATCTCCACAAAGACCTCAATTATGCTGGGATTCGAACTTTTAGAGATGGTGGAATTTACACAGGACAAAAGTCTGATATCAAGAGAGCGATACAGGAATCCAGGATATCGGTTGTTGTGTTCTCTAAAGACTACGCTTCTTCAACACAGTGCCTGGACCAGCTTGTGCTCATCATGGATGCTAGGAGAACAACTGGGCTCTCTGTGTTTCCCGTTTTTTACAACGTTAATCCTTCGGATGTCAGGAAACAGAAAGGGTTGTTTGAAGAAGCATTTGCTAAACACGAAAAAAGCTTCCATAAGGAAATGGCTAGAGTAGATAGT